AGAAATGTGCCTTTAAACTTGCTGAACTCGTGCAGTCTACTAGAGCGTCGCTTTTCCCGCTCGAGCGTACCTGCTTCCAGCACAGATTTTAAAACTTCAAACGGGCATAAGTCTCTCATTCGGACTTCGTTCTAGGTTGTTCTTGTGTCCAAATTGAAGCCCCAAAAACAAGATTTCCAATGGTTCTAGCCTTACATCCAAAATCAAAGTGTGAAAAAATAAAAGGGCAAAAGAGTGACGGCTGTTTGTGGGAAAAATTATTCGAATTAAATTCTTGGTTCTTACTTTACCATTATGTTGCCACTTCAATCAATATCCCAAAATAACATAGGGAGGTTCCAAATACACTAATAAAAAGTCAAGGGCAATCTCATTTTCCACGCTCGAGCGTCGCTTTCCACGCTTGAGCGTCGCTTTCCACGCTCAAGCGGGCAGACCAACAAAGCCATCTGCTCGAGCGACCACTCCTACGTTCGAACGGGAATTCGCAACTCTCAGAATTTTGGACAGACTGCAAAAATGCTGGGAGCCTCTCAAGTCCGCTTGAGCGGAGGTAAAAATTTCTGGATCGTTACAATAGTCATATCTATTCCAACATTTTACTTAACCTCCAAACTTCACCCCTCACTTCCGTTCTTCTAATCAATTCTGTATGAAGCAAAGGCCTGTTCTTAGCTAGCAATCAAGAGCATGAGCTTCTTTTTTAACACTCTTATGCTTATTTTCCACCTTTCCAAATACCTCCACATTCCACTGTTTTAAAGCTTGCTTCAGGGCTTTAAATTTCATGTGACACTTATAACCAACCCAACCCTCCACTACAAAACCAGTCCAACTTTGTTGCAGAAAAGGTAAGAAGTTAGGATGAAGTAACCAAGCATTGAGGAACTTAAAAGGCCCAGGCTTCCAATCCCTATCATCCTCTATTAAGATGATAGGACTATGATCAGATAATAGTTTGGAGAGGCCCCAAAGTTTGAAATTTAAGTTCTGCACCCACTCATGATTTAGTAGAAATTTGTCCAGTCTACTTCATTTTTCCCTGTCATAGGAATTACACCAAGTAAACTTCATCCCTAGCTTAGGCATATATATCTATCAGCTCAAGTTGTTCAATCATATTATTGATGTCTTTTATCCCTCTATCTCTTCTCGAGCATCCAATTCTTTATGATATAATCTTTATTTCATTAAAATCACTCCCCAAGCACCATGGCCCTGGAAAATTGGACTTCAATCTTACTAAAAAAATCTCACAACTCTTTTCTTGTCACCACCTTATTAGGACCATATACATTAATAATAACACAATCCAAGCTACAGAACATTGTGCCTGAAAGTAGGATGAAATTGTGATTACAACAACAAGCATTCAATTGAAACACCTCAGGTTTCCAAATACACAGAAACCCTTCAGCTCTTCCAACTGCATCGACGGCCATAAACTCAATTTGATCCCCAGGCCACATAGATTTTACCAAATCAGAATTGATTGCAGAGATCTTAGTTTCTTGAAGGAGAATAATGTCCACTTTTCTATCACCAATGTTTTTCTTTATCTTCCTTCTTTTCTCTGGTCTTCCTAACCCCTTGACATTCCATGATTGCATCTTCATTAACACACTATAACACTTTTACTTACCTAGGATTGCTAGTCTAGATAACATCTCTCTCTCTTGGCCTTACTTTCTTTTTGTCCTTGGCTTTAAGTTCAATCAATTTGCTAATTACTTCCTCTTCTTTTCCTTCACAATCAAGACCAAGAGCTTTGCCAATTTGAAGTGAAGCTTCAGCCTCTGATAGCACTCTCTTTCCTCTGTTGGTTCCACTAGTCATTGGTAATAAAATGGCACCTATAACTGACTTGAAAACAGCTCCCTTTCTCAAATTCAGTGATGATTCCCCTAATTTCCTAGTAGTCACAAACTTTCCCTTCTTTTTCTTCATTTGTTTTCTTCTGCTCTCCTGTCCTTTCTCCTTTAAAATAGCCTTCCTTGTTGGGTTTGAGATTGTATCTTGACTCATCCTTCGGTCCTTATGGTTGAGAAGACCCACCACTTGGCCTGGATTTTCCTTAAACGAAGATAACCCACTATTACCAGTATGGGCTAGCCCCACCTTCTTAGTTTGACCCATCAAAACTCAAATGGGTCTTATCAAGATCCATTTTAATTTGAATCCCAAGCATATTCCCTGCTGAGCCACTCAAGCTTTTGATAAACCTAGGTGTGCAGATTTCTCCATCTATCCTATGCCTACCATCATCATTAATAAACTTGGAACTCGTCCCCAACTCTACAGAGTCACCCTCGCATACGCTTTCATCCTTTGACACTGCCTTCATCATTTCTGTTTTAGCCACCACAGAGACATCCATTAATCTATCCTTCCACTCTATGCTATTTTCACTAGCATGTGGAGCCACTTTGTCCACTCCATCCAGATCACTCCTTTTGGCCACATCCTCACCAGCATGGACCGCCCTATCATCATCATCTTTCTCCTGCCTACTACCTTTGTCTGTACACTGATCCTCTTCAACCTCCTCTGAAGGATAAATGTCACTAGTCTTCTGTTCATTTGATTTGCAAACACACTGCTCATTCATAACATTTGAAACTATGATTTGCTCTTCGCATACCCTAATTGGGTATATTATACCTTTGCACTCTAAGTTGATTGATTTGGTTAATGGACTCCATACATCTTGTGGCTATCTTCACTTTCCCACAATGGAGAGAAGATAGTCTACTAGTATCATCATCCATACCAATCACTAGTCCCCAAACCTTTCCAATGCTACTAAATGTAGTGTTACTCCACAAGTTCAATGGGTCTCCATAGCAACTAAGCCAAATGTACCTTTCTTGCTCAATAGCCATCCATTGTCTCCATTCTAGAACTGATTCGCACCAGTCATAAAGTCACTCCTTCATTGATACAAGTTGTTCCTTCATAACTGCAACTGATTGAAAGAAAAGAACCATATCTCTTCCATCTCCTAGTCTCACTTTGATTTCCCCAAACCCTCTCCCTCGAATGTCCTCCCTAAAATCATCCACGGAAGATGATGATTTGAGTCTCACTACTGCACTTTCATATACCCAGCCATTATCTTCCTCATATACCTTAATGGTTCTGTTTGCAATTGGTTCTGCACCCCTGTCTCTTACTACCTCAGCAAATGACTGTTTCCCCCTATAGCCAACATTGTACGTGTGATCGGCCTCCATTGTCTTCCTGATATGTGGTACATGTACCATTCTGTGCTTTGCATCACCATCCTTCCCAAATTCTTCCATTTTAACTTCCAGTGCTCGGTCTTTACACCAAAGCCCATTTGCTTTTTGAACTGCCATATTCATCGCTATAGAGTAGTTATATCTTACAAAGCCAAAGCGAGATCGCGTCATCTTTCTTCTCTTGTTTGGGATAAACATATCTGTAACTATACCATAGTTGGAAAATATTGTATGCAACCCTTTTGTGCCCATGGATTCTGGTATATTATCCACAAAAGCAGAGTGAATAGTTGCTTCCTCCTTTTTGCTCCACACCCCATTCCTTCATGTCTACGTACCACTGGCTGTCATCCTCCATTTCCATGTTGAATACCTCTCTTCATTTTTCTCTCTCACAAATTTGTTGCTTGTTCATCAACACACAAACACCACCCACCATTGCGTTCTATAATGAATATCATGATATGTCATAATTTTTTTTACTAAAATAGTATGTAACAATTAAAACACATTGTTCATAACATAACAAAGATGGTTTATAAGTTACATTTTAGGAGTGCACACTATAAATTCACACATTTGCAACTTTTACAACAAAGTGACATAACATTTCTTACCGCGTATCATTTAGAAGTACACACAATAAGGTGATGTTTGTTTTGAGGGATTGAGGCATGGGATTGGACTAATAATCCCATCGGACTACTAATAGTCGATTGTTTGGTTCACAAATCCATTGAACTATTGTATCCTATGGGGTGGGACACAAATGGAGGGATAAGGAGAATATGAGATTAGGTGATGAAATGATCATTTTGACCCTCTACTATTTAATTATGTATTACATTTAGTAAAATTCAATAAAATTTAAATGTCTCAATTTAAAAATAAAATAATTTTATTTGACTTTTTATTGATGTTTTATTTATTTATTTATTTTAAATAATTTTTTATAGATATTTTATTGATGTTTTATTTTTAAATTTCGTTTATATTTTGTTTAGTTTCATTATTTAAATTTTAATAGATGTTTTATTTAATTTCATTGTTTAATTATTATTATTTTTAAAAACAAATTTATGTAAAATTTCAATTAAGAAAATAACATATATTTTTATTGATATTTTTATTTATTTATTTAATTTTTTTAAAAATAAATTTATTTAATTGTGCAAAAAATAAAATAAAATAAATTTTTATTCAATATAACTAAAAATAATTAAAATATTAAAGATATGTTTAATATTGCTATTACTTAGTAAATAATTGAAAATGATAAAACAGTCATTTGAGCATTTATCTTTCTCTATAATATCCCAAGCAAACATAAGATTCAATAGAATAGTCCAATCTAAACATCTAATTCCATTACTAAACAAATATAGGATACAAATTCAGTTCAATCAAATAGTCTGAGAACAATGTATCCTAGGATTAACAGTCCAGTGAATTTCAATCTCTCTTTATCCAATGCGTCCAAACAAATATAGTTTAAATTTCTTTAAAATCTAAATACTGGAAATGAATAAAAATAGCGAAACATATGTGTGGACTATGTTAAAAACAGAATTTTATTATAAATGAAGCAAATATTTTTAACTCCCAAATTTGATGCATTTCAAGCTTTAATGCAATTTTAAATATACCACAAAATATTCATGTGGTGGTAGGTGCTTTTGTTAAATGCGTTACCAGTTGTGGGGACTGGGGATTAATATGTCATTTTAACACCCAAATGACCAAAATGCCCTGCAGTCTCATATAAATACAGCATGGCTGAGATGTCTCTCTCTCCTCATTCCTCACTTGTCTCAGCATCTTCATCATAGAAAGAATAGCAAAAATGGCTGTGCCTTTGTCTAATGAGATTGAAGCCCTCACCAAAGCTTTCACAGGTTCTCTCTCATCCATCCTTTCAATTATTCTTTGTTTCTTCCCAAATTAATTATAACAATAAAGAATTCACATTTAAAAAAAAATAATTAAATGGTTCTTTTTGGTATAAGTTGGGTGTGATCTTATAGGTGTTGTTTCGATCACATTTTCCAGTTTTTTAATCTCCAAAATTCATGCTGCTCCTATTTCTTTAATAGTGCTCATATTGTTTTCTTTTTATTTATTTATTATTTTTACACACATATAAGGATAGCTACTTTTTAACTATCCTCAATGGCTGGAGTAATCGTAACTCATGCAGACTTCCACTCTATTAGAATAATAATTTTTTAGTTTTTTATTTTGTGTTTTGTTATCTTTAATAAACTTTTTGTATTTTAATTTTTTTTAAATTTTTTACATACATCTAACTTAGATGTATCTAAAAATGGCATATTTGTGAAGAAATTAAAAAAAAAAAATCTATAAATACAAAACTTTTTAAATATTTTTTTCACAATTATTTTAATTTTTAAGTGTATTTAGATTAAGTGAATTTAAAAAGTCAAAAAAAAAATATTTAAAATATTTATAAAAAAAATGAAAAACAAAAACTATTTTTGAAAATTGTTTACCAAACAGGGTGTTTTTTCACATTTAATTTTGTTTATTTTGTTTCTTGGTAGTTTTAGATTTTACTTTGACTATGCCTTGATCTCATATATTTGTTTCCTGTCAATATTCATAGGCCAATTATGATCATATACTACATCTCCATCTATTGCCTTAACTTACTGAATTTTAGTTTTCTTTCTAATTTTATCTGTTTCATTTCCTTTTATGATGTTTTAATTTTAATTTTTTTTTTCCTGAATGAAGCACAATATGAAAATTAAAAATACATTTGTTATTTGTTTTCAAAATTTTAAATTACATTTTATATGTTTTTTTATTTTAATTTAAAAATACGTAAGGAATAAAAAATTATTTTCTGCCACTTGATCTTTAGATATTTTACATAATGTGAAGGGTGTTTCTAAAAAAGACAATCAATAAATAAAGATCATCATACATTTTTCACCTATTTCAAAACGTTTTTCATTAATTTAATAAAATTTTCACTTTTTCACAAATTTTCAAAACATTTTTATCACTGCAACAAATAAGAGTTTTAAGTACTAAACTTTTGTCTCCAAAAGTAAAAACTTTGTTGCAAAAATTATTTAGGACCAATTTTTGTCGTCGCGATGATAGTCGTTAAAAAATCGTCCCAAAAAGTTAAAAAAGGAGATTTTTAGCAACAAAATTTTAAAAATGTTTGGTAATAAATGCACACATAGGGACTAAAAATTAGGTAAAAAAAGTTTGGTTTTTGGACAAAAATGTTGATCCTAAAAAGATAGTAATTCATCACCAAATATCTAATTTTGTCACTAAAAATATAATAATGAAACTTTTGGTAACAAAAATATTTCGTTCCTAAAAAATGATTTTGTTCGTATGTTTTTGTCTTTAAAACTTTAATTTGTTGTAGTGTATATTGGTCGTGTTTAGTGCAACTTCTGACAACTTGAAAGTCGATAAAAAAAAAAAAAAAAAGGAACTAAAAAGTATCACTCTCATACTTTTCAACAATCAAAATATTTAATTTATTTAAATTATTTTTTGTCTCATAATCTGTAAGCAAAAATTATACTAAACTGTAAGACATAAATTTAAATATATATATGCAACTTCATAAGTTATACCCTATAAAACATAGGTGCTTCAAAAAACATACCATATTCGTATCGGGTGCTTATTGGCGTATGATACTTCATATGATAATTTTGCATGCGTATTGGTTACACAAAACAAGTACTCAAATTTTTCTTCTTAATTTTTGACATACCCAGACATACCTAGTATATACTTAAGTCATACCATATCTTAGTCGAAATAATATTTTCTTCTATTACAGAGATAAAATTCTTTTCATTAGACTTATCTTTTATTTTTAGTTTTATATACTTAGCACGATTTAAAAATTAAACTTGGTTTGTAAGTTATTTAATATAATGTCATTTAATTTTGATCTATGCTTTTACTTTTGGTATTAAATATTAATTATAGATTGGATCTTAATAAATTAAACTATTTAATCAATTTTTACATTACTCTAAGTTAAAAATAAATATTTTTACAAAAATACCGAGACATATCCATATTCATACCCATGCCCATACCCATACCCGTACCTGTACTTGTACCTATTTTTTTTTTTTTTTACCGTATGGACATACCCGTATTGTACTAATATCCGTACATATATCCGTGCTTCCTAAGTTATATTAGACAGCGACTGAATTATTTACAGTTATATGTATTTTAGATTTAATAAAATTTGATTCTATTTGTGTGTATTTTTATTTATTAATTATTTTTATTTTGTAGGTTTTGGTGTGGATGAGAAGTCATTGATATCAACATTGGGGAAGTGGCATGCGGAGCATACGAAATCCTTCAGAAAGGGCACCCATTTCTTCATTCAGGATGATCGTCTTTTTGAGAGGTGGGTTGATGGACACGTGGAACAACTCCACCGTGAATTTCTACGTATTAAGGTAATCTCTCTCTCTCTATATATATATATAAAATAATAATGCTAAGTGACTCAAATTTTCTTGATTCAAATGGCTCGAAATACTTAAAATAACATCGTTTTGAATGTAAAATAACATCGTTTTAACGCATTCAAGCCATTCAGGCTACCAAACATTTTTCTATATAAAAACATCTACATACATATTCATACAGCATTAAATTTTGAATTAATTTTTATTTATCTTTCATAAACTTTTAATGGAGTATTTCAGAAGCGCTAATGAATTCTAATTGTAACCTCCAAACAGTAAAGTGACGTTATACTTAAGAGAGAGAAGACCTTTTTTTAGAGCAACCCCAATACAATGCTAAGTATAGGCAAACTTTCTATTTTATCTAATCAATTTAGTGTGTATTCCAATAATATTTTTTTTATTATTTTAGGGTGCAAATTAAATTAATCATTTTTTTTAAAAAAATATTTTATGTACAAAATAAAAAATAGGAGAAAATAAAAAAAAAATAGAGTTTGACCCTCATAATAAAATAAATCTTAAAATTTTAATTTTATCAATTTAAACTCTAAATTTTTTATTTGTTTTTAATTTAAATCATTTGCATATTTTTGTTATGTAAAATCAATAGAAGAATGAGTATTTTAATTATTAAACTCAATGAAAATGGTATTTTAGACATTTTATATATTTCTACATTGAGTTTTATAATTGAAATATTCATTTTCTATTGATTTTAAATAGACTAATGATTTAGATTAAAAGCAAATCAAAATATTATAATTTAAATTGACACAATTGAAAAGTTGAAATTTAGGCTAACTCTGATGTTTGTTTTATTTTATTTTTTTGATAAATAAAAGTAAGCAATGTAACCCCTAAATCATTAACATAATTGTTAACTCCGAGGTTTATTTTATAATTATTCCTAAAAAATAAATATAATTTTCATGGCAAGTCCTTAGTTGTGACATAATTGCCAATGTGATATTTGCAAAACGGTAATATTTTTTAAAAAAAATAAATAACTTCACACAAAGTTTGAGGGGACATTTTTAAAGTTCTCCATTACGTCAGATTTGCAATCTGCATTTATCAAATATAAGTAGTGTAAAAAAAATTTGAAACAAGACTTGTGAGATCAATGGCTAAAGCAGAGAAGAAGCCGAGATAGAGCAAGCAACATATATGTGGAGAGCAAAAACTAAAAATAGGTAAAATAAATAAAATGAACATTTTAAACAGTTTTGTTAGTGAAATTCCATTTATGTCTCTCCCACAAGCTCTCTATTGGAAGAGTCATTTTACCTATTTTTAGTTTTTACTCTCCACATGTAGCTAGTATCTAATGCTAGGCAAATGTATATTCGAAGAGTCATTTTACCTATTTTTAGTTTTTACTCTCCACATGTAACTAGTATCTAATGCTAGGCAAATGTATGCAATGGTGGGAATATACATTTGCCTAGCATTAGATACTAGTTACATGTGGAGAGTAAAAACTAAAAATAGGTAAAATGACTCTTCCAATAGAGAGCTTGTGGGAGAGACATAAATGGAATTTCACTAGCAAAACTGTTTAAAATGTTCATTTTGTCACGTTTAAATTATGCTTTACTCTTTTTATGTTTGAGCATTTTTTTACTTTAACCGTTCATGTTATATATATATATATATATATTTTCAATTTACTCACAAAGCTAATTTATGTTCAAAATTAGGCAGAAAATGCTACCTTAACTGTCACATAACATAAAAAAATATATTATTATATTGAAATTTGGGTTTATGTCAGAGGTGTGAGTTACATATAATAAAATATTTAAGTAAATTATAAATACACCCCTTAAGGTTTGCTTAAAATATAATTTGCCTTGTAGTTCTAGAAATTACGTCAAGCCCCCTAAAATTTCTAATTTCTTAACAAATGGCTTCTTTTATGAATAAATCATCAAACCAATTAACAATTTTTAATGATGTCAAAAATATATTTCAATTAATAATTTAAGTAATTTTATTATTGTATATGAGAACAGTTAGGAATTTTGGATCCGTTTGGTTTAGTTTTAAAATTATGATTTTAGTGTGTGATTTAAGTGTGGAGTTGTGAGTTGAGTTTTAAAAAAAGAAAATTTGTTTGGTTATGAGTTTTGAAAAGAGTTTTTGAGAATACTTTTGAAAGGAGTTTTTGAATTTTAAATTTCGAAAAAAGTTTTGAGTTTTGAAAAGAGTTGTGAGTTGTGTTTTGAAATTTTTTGGATTTATCTTTTTAAAATATTTAAAAATGTTTAAGAAAATTTTATTTTTTTCTTATAAATAATATATAATTTTTATTTTAACCATTTTATTTTATTTTTTAAATTTTAATTTTTAATTTTAATATTTTAAACTCAAAACACAACTTCACACTCAAATTGTAACCAAACACATAACTCAAAACTTAATTAAAAATTATTTTCAAAACTCATAACCAAACATATAACTCGAAACTCCACACTACTTTCAAAACTCTACACTCAAATCATAACCAAACACATAACCAAATAAAATTAAACTATTTAAAAATATATTTATAAAATAAAATAAAATAAACTATTTAAAACAAAAAATAAAAAAATAATTTTTTTAATATTTAAAAAAAAATACAACACATAAATGTATGAAATATAGTGCATATTAAAATAAATAAATAAATTTTTAAAATATAAAATATTTACTTTTTTTAATATTAATAAAATAAAATAATTAAAAATATATTTATAAAATAAAATAAAGTATTTAAAATAAAATTATACATTTAAAATAAAAATATATATATTTATAATTTTAGATATTTACAAAATATACTTAAAATATTTTAAAAAAATACATCACACAAATGTATGAAATACAATGAACATAAAAATAGATAAATAAATATTTAAAATATAAAATATTTACCCTAAAAAAATAAAATTAAGAAAATTTTTAAATATTTAAAAAAAAATAAATCCAAAAAATTTTATAATCCAATTCAAAACTCAAAATACAACTCAAATTTTTTTTTTCAACGCTCATAACCAAACAAATTTTCTTTTTTCAAAACTCTTAACTCAAAACACGACTACACGGTCAAATCATGGTTCTAAAAATAATTTTAAAAAACAAAATAAAAAAAATATTTTTTGAATTTTTTCTTTTAAAATAAAGTGTTGAAACAAGTTTGGTTTTGAGTTTGAAAAGAGTTTTGAATTGAGTGTTGAGTTGTGTGTTTGGTTATGAGTTGAAAATAATTTTTGAATTGAGTTTTGAGTAATTTTGAATTGCATATATGGTTATGAGTTTTGAAAATTTTTTATTGGAATTGTGATTCCAAAAGAGAACCAATCATGGCGTTTATTTTTTTAATTAATTCTGTTAAATAAATTTTTTATAAGGGAGTGTTCGTAATTTTCCAAACTACAAGGGGTCAATCTATATTTTAAGTATAACTCAGAGAGTGTATTTGTAATTTATCCAAAATATTTTTATGCTACATGACTGTCAATATGTCATTTTCTATCTAATTTTAAACATAAATTAACTTTTGGAGTAAATTAGAAAAAATTTGAAACACGAAAGATCAAAATAAAAAAAAAAAAATTTAAAAGTCAAAGCAAAAAAATAGCTAAATATAAAAAGGGTAAAGTATAATTTACCCGTTTTGCCACTTGTGTTGGAGTTTCTCTTACCTATGGTCCTATTTTTTGTGACGAAGGTAAATACAAAATTCTTTGTAAGTGAGTCTACTTTGCTTAATGCACCCTTAAATTTCATATGTTTGTCTAATTTATGTTAATTATTAATTTTTTTTTTTTTGGTTGATATTAAGAGTGCAGTGGTTCTTTGGACAATGCACCCTTGGGAAAGAGATGCGCGATTGATTAAGGATGCATTGAATGATGGACCAAAATCATACAATGTAGTGATAGAGATTGGGTGTACTCGATCATCAGAAGAGCTATTAGGAGCAAGAAAAGCCTATCATTCTATTTTTGAACGCTCCATTGAGGAAGATGTCGCCTTCCATGTCAACACCATTGAACGCAATGTGAGTTTTGTATTGCACAAGCATACATAATGGTTACTATTTTTTATTTTACTTTTATTTTTATAATCGGTTGTCTGATTAGCTTACGCTGATCTCGACTATTCTAAAAGCTAAGTAGCATTATTTTTATAGAGTTCATCCCTTGCTCTATTATAAGTTGGTTAAATTTTGACAAAATTAATTCTAATGGACCAGTGGATTAGCCGTTAAAATTATGTAGTTCGCGTTAACTTTCTACCAAGTTTCTTACCTAATTTAGTTGAAATCATAGGCCCAAGACAAAGAAATGTATGCTGTATAGGGCAAGGATTGTAAAGGGAAAACTTAGACATGGTGGGAATAGTGATATTGATGTAGAACACGTTGCAAAAGAGTCTTTAAAACAATTGAACCAACAAAATCCAAGAAAAGACTTAATTAAGCTCAAGGGAAAAATTGTCATTTTGGCAGATGAGTTTAGAATCACTTCAAATTTAGTGGTCTAATTGAAAATGGCGCAAACAATAAGACTCATTGATTTGCTGCCATCTTAGCAGAATTTAAGTAGATTCCCAGATTTGCGTCCAAATTCACATTTTTGTCGTTTAAAGGAAATTTTTGTTTTGAAAATTGTTTTTAGGAATGTCCATTTTCAGTGTCATTTGTCTTGAGACATTTCTAATGTTGCTTAGTATCCAAATTTGGGCTTAACATTTTACTAGTTTTGATAATCTTCTATTCTTTTTGATTATTTTTGTGTTTAGCAAGAAATTAAGCTAATTAGTTGTTTCCTTTTCGTCAAATTAGTAGTTCTTTTATTATATATAGAGGGATGAAAGTCTTATGGCTATAAAACTCGTAAAAAATTTAGTCATTTTTGTTAAGGTTATGTTTAGTTTGAGAATTTGATAAGGGAAATGGAAATAGAAAGAAAATGAAAAAGAATTGATGGAATTCGAATTCCAAACTATGTTTGGTTGAGTTGGAAAATGGTGGGAAATGGAGAAAGAAATGAGCCTATGGCTATATTTGATTCATGGATTATTTGAAAAGGAAAAAGAAAAATGTACAATTATATTTTACACACATTTTACCTACCTTTTTCGTTTCCTTTTCCAAATTTCTCTCTAAATTTATAAACCAAACGCAGCCTAAGAATTTCTTATTTCTTGTAGTTTCAAATTTCTTTTCTTATGGACTTGAGATTCTTTTCATGCGAACGTTTTCAGAAAATGTTTTTCTTATTTTTTGGTGTTTGGTACGACAGAAAATAAAAGTTAACAGAAAATATTTTATATGGTCAATGAAAAACAGGCCAATTTGACCAAAAAATATTTTTTGACTTTTTTTATTTATTTATTTTTGGGATAATATATATTTTTCACTTTTAAAAGTCGAAAACATTTTTCACTTTTAAAAGTCGAAAAATATTTTTCGAACTAAACTTTTAACGTCACCACATTGCCACCACCATTCACACCACCACCCATATCACCACCACCACCACCACCATTGCAGTCGTTGCCGCCACCAACTTCACCTTAACCTCCACCACCACCACTACCACCACCACTGTAGCCGTTGCCGCCACCACCTCTACCTCAACCTCCACCACCACCATTACCACTACTGCCTCTACCATATCACTACCACCTTTACCACCACCCCTGTCGTTGCCACCACTATTGCCGCCTCTATTGCCACCACACCACCACCACCACCACTACCTCAACCTCTATTGCTACCACCACCACTACCACTACCGTCACTCCAACACCTCCACCTCCATCTCCTCCTCTACCCCACTGTCGCCGCTAGTATTATCACACTAACGCAACTATTAGTCTATGGAATACATTTTCTAAAATTTTTTTTGTTGAGAATGTTTTCCGCTGAAACAAACGGATTTTAGTAAATGGTGGTTTGAGATGATCTAAATAAGTGCACTTTTTGACTTTTTATGAAATATGAGTTGGATATGGGTTGGGTTTGATATGATGTGGTAGAGAGGTGATGTGACTTAAATAAGATGATGTGACTTAAATAGAATAGTGACCTTCTGACTTTTTAACTTTTTTAAGTTATGACAAACAAGGTACTTTTTGAAGTTATGACAAACAAGGCCTAAGTTTAGTCCTTTGGGTATTTTTAACATGTATTATGGCACTAAGAAGTCAGATTATAATTCTCAATTCTTAGCGCGGAGAGAGAGAGAGAGAGAGAGAGAGAGAGAGAGTACAATTCCAACCGAAACAAGTTGGGTTTAAGGTGATCTTATTTTAATATCAAAGGTAAATGTCAAATTGCCAAAGTGGGGGAACAATGGTATGAAGTAACCTATAAATAGGTTTAAGTCTTCCATCAAAGTTGAATACATTCTCCATCATGTTGCCAATTAGGAAGAGAATTCAAAGATACAAAACAGAAGATAATCTAGAAAGAAAAAGAGGAACACGAAGTTCTTAATGGGCAAAAGATTAAAATAGAAATTTCAAATTTCAAACAACCAACCAAGGAACAAAAAATTCACTCACACTAAGTTATTGATGTAAGTGATCAAAGTCAAAACTATGAGATCTAGACATAAAATAGACTCTCATTTTTTTTTCTTGGCTTCTATTGAACAGCTCTTGGCACTTGTTAGTTCGTATCGCTATGAAGGTACAAGAGTTCATCAAGAGACAGCAAAATCTGAGGCCAAGACACTTTGTACTGCCATTAAAAATGCTGGTAAGAAGAATCCAATCGCGGATGGCGAGGTGGTGAGGATACTGTCAACAAGAAGCAAGCTCCATCTTAAGGCTGTGTTCAATCACTACAAGGAGATCTCTGGGAATAATATTGATGAGGTACTCAAAATAAATAAATAAATATTTTACCAAAGCAAAAAATCATGCTTTTAGAACATCAAGTGTCATATACAATAAGAGAAAAACAATGAATCTCTGAGATTCTTGAACTTGACCAATCAAAACTGACTAGACTAATGCAACTTAGAATTCACTAACACCTTTTTACTTTTGATCTCTCATGTTTCTTCAGGATCTTGTTGCTCACTCAAGCTTAAAAGACACTGTGCAATGCCTATCTACTCCCTATGCTTATTTCATCAGGGTTAGGGATTGATTTATATGTCTTTTTTATTTACAACTTTACAAATTGGTAATTACCCCAAAAAACTTCATGAATTAGTTTTTGACATGTACTTTTATTGTTATAGGTTTTGGATGCAGCGATGAGTCCTGGTGTAGATGAGAATACCAAAGAGGGCTTAACTCGAGTGATAGTAACCCGAGCAGATGTAGATATGAAAGTGATCAAAGAAGAGTATCATAAGCAAAACAAAGTTACACTAACCGAGAAGATTGAGCTCGTAACTAAGGGAAACTTTAAGGATTTCTTGATGATCTTACTTGCAAGAGGGGGATAATTGAAAAGTGAGCACTATACTTAACATCAATGATTTGTTCTAGGTTTTCCAAGGCATAATCTTTTATTTTGATACTTGCAATCTTGTGTTTGTATGAGTATTGGTATCATCATAAAGGGTGAACTTTATAAATCATCCCATGTATTAGCATCTATTAGGTCTATTGTATCCATTTTTGTTGTTTCTGTCTATGCTTTACTTGTGAAAGAAGAATTGTTAGTGACTCAATAAATCCATTTGTATGGTTGTTCAAATATCCCTTCTAGTTTGCAAGTATTTCGTTTTTATCGAAAAAATTGAAACCCTCCTTTCATTTCTAGTTTTGACAGTATTGGAATCGTTATGAAATTTTGAAAGGAAAATTACAATAAATAAATAAATAATAAAAAAAATTCAAGGTTCAACCTTTATAACAAAATAAATTGTGAGTTTTTAATTTTGTCAATTTAAATGCTAATCTTTTGATTTATTTTTAATTCAAACCATTTGTCTATTTTTTTTAAGCAAAACTGACAAAAAAGATATTTTAATCATTAAAGGCTATGAAAAAGAGTATTTTAGATTTTTTTTCCTGTGATTTGGCCAATTTTAAACTATAAGTGATTGAGCAAATGGGTACTTTTTCATAAATCTATTTTTACATACTTGTATTCTATTTAGTCTATATTATTTTGTTATATTTTAATACGTCCTATGAGTGACGTAATTACCAAACTACCCCTAATAATATTCACATTTACAGTGTGAATGTTTCGTGATGTGAATGTTCACATATTTAATGTGAATGTTTATACTGTCAATGTGAACATTCACACGTCAATGTGAATATTCACATTGTAAAATATGAATGTTCACATCATCAAATTGCTAGTTGTTCAAAAAATATTTGTAAGGGTAGAAATGTCCATAAAATATTTTAAATATGAGAATTAGGATTTGGTAGATTAAATGTTCAAATAATAAGACTTATTAAAATATAGGAATTTTTATTGATAAGTCCAATTTAGAAGTGTTTTAACCCAAGAAGTCCATGAAGAAATTTTTTAACCCATTTAGTCCCATGTATGTATAGTTTTATTCCATAAAGTCCATTTTCTTGATTTACACCATTTTCTTGGACACTTATGCCCTTATATTTAATTTTGATACCCTTATAAATATTTTTTGAACCTTCATATTTTAAAATTCACATTTGTAGGAATGTAAATTGGCCCGTAGGCGGCCCGAAACCCGCCCGCGAGCTAGGGCGGGCCCGGCCCATTGACAATGTGAATATTCACATTGACATGTTAACATTAACATTGATAGGAGTGTCAATACCTCCATAATTACCCCAAGATTCAATAATTTAATATTTTAAAGGGATTTTTATTGATAAGTCCAATTTAGAAGTGGAAAAACCTCGAACAACTTCTCCATCTCAAGAACCCATGCTTCTGCCTTCATCGGCTCTATACCTCCATGGAACTTCGGCGGCTTCATCTTCTTGAATTCTCTGATCAGGGTCAATGTGTCATCTCCATACAAAGCTGGCTGCGGAGGCACTTGTGGTACTGGTGGTGGTGGAACTACATGTCGGCCATCTGTCTGCTCGGCCTGGTTGGAGGTGGTACCGGTGTTCTGCTGCCTTGCTTGCCTTAACTCATCGGCCAAACTTTCAACAATCCTTTCTAATCTGTCCAACCTGTCTTCGGACTGATCTCGGTCGACTGGGGTCTACCTCTTCTCATGATGCTAGGAGTATGCAGGATGTGACTCTTAGAACAAAATGAACAAATGAACATGTATGCAAGTGAACATGATCATGCCGATGTAACAAATGCTCATGCCGAGATGATGCACACCTTGTCAAGTAGGAAGCAACATGATGCAATCCTAAGATCATTCTAAGGGACATCCTATGCTCTTTAGGACTCAAAGTGTGTGAATAACGTACTATAAGGAACTTGTGCTCTGATACCATTCTGTCATGACCCCAACCCACCCCTAGTAGGATGGTGCCATGATGGCCAGTAATCCGAGATTATCGAAGGCCACTTACAAAATTCACACACAATCAGAGTATAAATATATGGGGCTAACATGTGCGGAAGCAATAATTTACAATACAAGTGGTTCATAAGAGCAGTGCATAAGTCAAATGGAATGACATACATCTTTACATAGCTTTACAACTTGAATACAAATAAAACGAAGTACCAAAAATACATATTACATCTTAACAAAACGCTTCTCAAGCCGACATAAACAAAATACATGAAATACAAGTCAAGATACATAATCTTCAAAATTGACAACATCCTCACTGCCGACATAACATGCATACAAAACACACATCTCGGCGTAGCCGACTTCTTGCTTGTTACCTACATATATACATAGGGAGGGTGAGCTTGGATACTCAGTGAATGGTACAAGTAATAAAGGAGTTAAATGAATGATTCCTGAAGTCTTTGCAAAACATACATAGTATATCTTTGTCAAAACCATACATAACATAGCTTAGCTTGGCTTGAAATAAAACATCAATCGAACCTTGGTCTTTCAAAACTTACTTACTTACTTACTTAACATACGTCAGCTCAAAACATGGGGTGATGACATTCCGGACAAAACAAAAGCATAACCTCGGCATCGAGCACACCCGTTCATAGTCCGCCGGTGGCCGATATCTTAACAAGGGTGCTACTTAGGCTTAACGTCCCCTAGCACGAAAGGACGGTGCTACCTAGGCTTAAAGTCCCCTAGCACGGAAGGACTATGCTGCATAGGCTTAAAGTCCCCTAGCACGGAATGACTATGTTACATAGGCTTAATGTCCCCTATCACGAAAGGACGATGTTACTTAGGCTTAACGTCCCCTAACACAAAAGGACGGTTCCAAGAATGTCATCCAAAACAAAGCTTATACTTGATACATAAAATAGGGATATCGTTCATATTTAACAAACACTTTTATCAAAACAAGGCAAAGCTTTATCAAAACCTTATAACATAGCTTTATTAAAAATACCACTCACATTGTTCTTGGGACGTCGGGATCAAGGCAAAGGTCCAAGTCCTACAAACACATGGCAAAGTCTACTGAATGCACTTCACAAAACCAGTCTTACATGCATGCAAATGATCTCGGGAAAACATGCTGGGAAAACATCTAGGGAAAACATGCTGGAAGTCAAAACACTGTTTTACATGTCAGGAAGACATGCTAGGTACCAACCAGGTCTTTGCCGAGGTCCCACACCTCCTGGCCGAGGTGTGGCTACCTAGGCTTCGGCGTGTGGCTGCATGCCGAGGTGTGCACAAGATAGCTAAAGGTGTAAGTGATCATGCAAGGTAGGCCAAGGTGAGATACGATGCTTGGCCTAAGTGTGAGGTCTAAGTAAGAGTGATCTCGGCGACTACACTTCAGGAAGTGAGGTCTGGAGATCTGGGTTTCCATCCGTGAAGAACAGGAAGAACATGAACATGAAGATCATGAAGAACATGAATGTTAAAATCACAACTTTTTTATTACAAAAATCTGGGATTTCATGCTATGAGTTCGAAAACATGGACTTGGGTACCCATACTTGAAAATCATATGAAAACAAACACAAAAACATGGATCTTGGCATGAGCTTTCGGATCAAAACATGACTTTTCTTGAAGAACACATGAATACTATTTTCTCTTTCTAAAACCGAACTTCAAAGCAATGCATGGCTTACAAATCATATTCAATCATGTAATGCAATAACATGAACATAAAGAATAACATGAGCAGATCAAGAATCTAACCTTAGAACACGGATCTAACGGTTCGATCTCTAGGGATCAAGCTTGGAAATCTTCTCTCCCTCAAGAACTCCTCTCTCCTCTTCTAGAGCTTCTCTCTCCTCTTCAAAAACAAGTATAGAAATGATAGGTTTCTCCCTCTGCCGGCTGACATAACACTCAGCTCGGACATGTGGCAACGGCTGGTTGGTTCTCCTAAAAAATGTGATAGATTGACAAGATATGTGTAAGACAAAGTGTATCTAACAAGCTACCCGGTAAGGCACTCCGGCAAGTAATGACATCGGCTAAGGACAAAGCTTCAGCAACTAAGGTGACAATGACCTCGGCTAAGAAGGACAACACTTGACTAAGCTGTGTCACACCTCGGTCTAGGTCATACCACTCCAGGACAAGATAAGCTTTAAAGATTTTTTTTTTAATTTATTTTTTTATTTTTTATGTTATAATATAATATATAAGATATAGATAGATATCTACAACTTTAATAAAAAATATTATTTGATTTTTTGGGGAAGAGAAAATGAATGCAAGTTTTAATTATTTTTTTTTTTGAAATTGGTGAGAGAGATTGGGAGGGAGAGATTATGAAATATTTTTGTTATTAAATAAATAAATCAGTCAATATTTTTTTAATCTATTTTGTAAATTTAAAAATTGATAATTTTAGAAAGTTTGATTAATTTGTCTCATTAAGTGATTTAAAATTTTGATAGATATATATATATATATATATAAAATACATAATTATATTACTAAATCATAATTCAAATTTAGATGTTATATTTTTTTGAGATCTATAATTAAATTCTTATCTTCTTTATTTTTGTGTGTAACTATAGTGTATGAGAGAAATTGAAAAGGGTGCTGCAGTAATTATGAGAGAAGTCAAAAGGGATTATGGGTTGGGAGAAGTTAATAAATGTTGAGGTTTGGTTGGGAGAAACAATAAATGCTGAGGTTTTTTTTTTTTTTGGTTAAATCAAAAAATTAGAAAATTAAGATTAGGATATTGGAGCTCTCACAAGGCCGGTGAGTTAAAAACCCCATTTTACTTAATATATAGTATAGATAAGTCCTATGAGTGACGTAGTTACCAAAATACCCCTAATAATATTCACATTTACAGTGTGAATGTTTCGTGATGTGAATGTTCACACATTCAATGTGAATGTTTATACTGTCAATGTGAACATTCACACGTCAATGTGAATATTCACATTATAAAATATGAATGTTCACATCACCAAATTGCTAGTTGTTCAAAAAATATTTGTAAGGGTAGAAATGTCCATAAAATACTTTAAATATGAGAATTAGGATTTGATAGATCAAATATTCAAATAATAGGACTTATTAAAATACAAGAATATCTTATAGATTAATTAGGATACAAATACTTGAAAAATAATTTTTTAATAAATCTCCTTTGAGCAAAAGTATCCAAAAAAATAACAATTTGTATTAAATATCTG